GCCTGGTTTGCAATCCCACTTACTAGCTGGCTAACAGTGGATTGGAGCCTTAGTTTTCTGGCCCACAAAGTAGGGTAGTAACAATTTTCACATGCAGGGCTATTCAGAAGATAAAGTAATGCCATCTGAAAAAGCTCTCACCACTCCGTACTGGGCATATATTATGGTGCTCAGAATATTTCAATTTCTAATAAAGACTGGTCTTTGCCAAGAGGCCATCTTGAGCCCTTTTATTTTCTGTTTATATGCTCTACCTGGGGTGGGGGAATGGGAGTGGTTTATATCTATTCTTATGGCTTTGACATCCTCCTTAGGGCAAGTGTGTCTCGCATCTTTATCTCCAGCCCCCACATCTCACCTGAGTTTTTGATTCATATTGCCAACTGTTCTTAGATATGTGTTTCTAGACCTCTTGAAGATTTATTCAACGAATCCTAAAATAAATTCTCCTGTCTCTCCAAATCAGTCTCTGCTACCCACTCCACATACTTTACCCCACTCCATAAGTTGGTCAATATTTCTATACATTATTACCTTCCCTAAAACAAACAAACAAAATCCTGAGTTATTCTCTAATTCCCAATCTCCCCTTAGTCAGGCATTAGTACTTTTAGATTCTGCCTCAAAACACCTCATCTACTCTTCTCCATCACTACTGCTACCACCTTGCTCAAGTTCCCATCATCTCTCACCTGGATGACGGCCACAGCTGCTTAACTGACTTTCTCCCTGCACTTCATGCTGCATATGACAGAGTCGCTGTCCTAAAAATAAACTTGAGCGTGGTACTCTCCTGCATTAAACCCTTTGTGGTCCAGCCCACAGAAACAAACAGGCATACAAGGTGCTTCATCATCTGGCCCCAACATACCTTTGCCCAGTCTCATCTCCAGCCACTTGGAGACCTTCAGGCTTTGATGAACTGAGGCAATGAAACTGGGTACCTTCAGGCTTTGCCCTTTTTTGCTTTATCCATTAGCTCACAAAGCCCTATTAGTACAGGCTCCCAGGATGCCTTTGCTGATTCAATAAACATGACTCCCTCCCTCCCTCCCTCCCTCTATGTCTCCAGGACACCTGACATATCACGTCTTTTGCCATTGTTGATATGCATGCACGATACCTCCTCAACCAGAACGGGGACCTTGAAGGCAGGGACAGAACTGCCTTTATTTTTTGTATCACCTGCACCTGGCTCAGTGTCAGTCCATCTCAGAGTATGGCCTTAGTGGCTGTTAACTGAATCAAGAATAGCAAAATACTTATGAATAACAGGCTAAAGTTTAGAAGAATAAGTACACCTCATCAAAACAATGTAAAATGTGAAAGAAAAAATAACGAGGGAGTAGATAAGGAATAGGAAGAGGGAATGCCAAAACAGGGAGAAACTGAGTTTCCTTTTATGGAAGGAAAGGAAAATTCCTGTTTTTGCTTTAATAAAGAAAAAATGTTATTTTTAGCACTAAGAATTCGAAAGTTTGTTCACCTTTAAAATTTGTTTAAAAGTGGAAAGGAAAGAATATTCCATAAAACAAAAGGTATAACAGAAGAGATAAGAAATATAAAAATTAAGAAATAAATTATATATAGAAAACACAACAAATGCAAAATCAACCATAAATTAAAGAAGATAAATTCACGCATAAGTTATAGAATGTTCAAGACTGACTGAAGACAAAATCCAACAATATTTTGCTTGCAAGACATAATGAAGTTAGAAAATGTACCAAAATCGTTAAAAGAGAAATCTATAGACTGGAAAAAAGAATCAAGGACAAGCATTGCTTTAAGTATTGTCAAAAACAAACAAACAAACTCACAAAAACTAAACATGCAACTAAAATAATCTTGAGAAATAAATGACAAAAAAAAAAAAAACCCCAAATGGAACTTCTCTCCCCACTCAACCCCCCACCCTTCTTTTAAAAGAAAAGAATCAGATATTTGAAAGCAGAAACCAAACTACTTTGGAAGGACCACAACAAATTGGCGGGAGGTGCTGCCTAAGAAAGGAGAACAGATTGCCTGAGGAACAGGAATGGGAAACTGACTTATCACTACCTCCTTTGGCATTTTTAAAGTTTATCTTTCAACTAAAAGTTTTCGTGAAGAAACGAAAAGTGATAGCACTGGTAAATTTAATTACAAAAAAAAAAAGAAGAAATGCATGAAATTGGAAAAGCAGGACATTAAAAGAGGCAATAAAATTGTAGGGGAATACTATGTATGTGTCAATAAATTTGAATAAAACTAAACAGAAGGATTTCCTATTAAAAATGTAAAATTTTAACTTGGCAAAAATAAAATACCTAGCTAGACCAATATATTCAAAATAAAATCAAATAAGTACACATCCACAAAAACGAGTCTGATTATTAGTGAATCCTTTCAAACTCTCCAGAAACAAACAATTCACAGCATAAAAATCGTGCCTAAAATTTAAGGTCAAGATATAGGTTACTAGTTTATTCTACCAACCAGATTCTAAAACTGGCTAAAGAAAATGCAAAGAGAGAAAACTATAGAAAAAGCTTACTCAGAATTCATGCTCAAAAATTTCAAAGAAATTAACAGTAAACAGAATCTAGGAATAGGTTTTTTTATAGTGTCATATTAACAGATGCCAAAAATTCATTTGTTAAAATCCAACATCTATTCTTAAAAACTCTAACACAAATAACAAAAATAATATACTTCCTTATACTTTTAAAGTATCCATTTAAATCTAAATGCCAGTATTATACTTTGAGGAAGAAGAAAGCCATGTAGCATTAAAAATAGGCACAAAACGAAGAAGCATTTTATCATCACTGTTAACTAATATAGTATCAGAAGTTCCTTCCAATACAAAATAACACGAAAATGAATAAAAAATACAAGTAAGGTAAAGGCACAGGCAAAAGTGCTTTTATATATAATTCCATTGTATACTTACAAACCCAGAAGAATCACTTAAATGGTTATGATGAGTTTAAAGCAGCCAGAGTCATCACGAATATAGAAAAATCAATAGTATTTCTAGTCTTCAAACTTGACCACAAATGAAAATCACCCAGGCAGCTTCTTAAAAGGCTGTTGCCTATACTTCACCCCAGAAAAACTGCCTGAGAATCTCAGGGATGACGGGCGGGGAGGGGTAGGGTGGGACCAGGAATTAGTATTTTACAAAGCTTCTGATGTGATTCTAATGTATAGCCAAGTAGAAACACCACTACTATATGCTTAATGATCTAAATATAAAAAAATGCAATCCAAAAAGTATATCCATCTGTGATATTCACAAATGAGAAGAGAAAGACTGCCATAAGGTAACAGGAGTTCAAAAAAAGCAACCTGAAAGGGAATATAGTTAGCTACTGTGCAAATGTCACCATTCCACTGAGAGGAGAAGTTGCCCAAGTTATTGGAAGGGGACATGACCCATGGCCAGCAACAAAATGATGGCAGCAAAAGATAATTAGTCTCTGTCCAAGTGCTACTGTGATAGGAAGCATGCATGAGGATTTAATGGAGGCTGAGGTGGTATAGGATTACCTGCATACCTGGATAAGAGATAAATTCCTAGAAATGCAATTACGGAGTCAAATGGTATATAACTTTAAAAGTGAAACATCAATTTTAAAAGATCTTAAAGGTGAAACAAAATGCATGATATGTAGACTACACAAAACATCATACTTGGTAGGTACGAGTGGAGTGGAAGGAATGAGGTAAGCTGAAGTTAGGCAAGATGGCTCAGTGTTGCCAGGTAGTAGGTACAGAGACTGACATAACAGAAAATTCCTGGTGACTCCAATTTGGCTTTGCCCTTCCTATTAACTTGCCCTGACAACAGAAACCTGGAGGAAGAGGAGGAGGAGGGCAAGAACCATGTGGCTATGTGGGAGTAGGCTTAAGTGTGAAGATGAACATTAGAAAATGTGTGTACAAGTTTACTTGTAAATAAACTTGTCTTATGCCATTTTTAGCTTAGAGGATTGATGTACAAGGCCACTGAATTCTTTTTACTCAACCTGATGACTCAAAGGTAAAGAATGAGCAAGCTAGAATATATCATATATCCAACAGTAGCCCTGCTGCAGTCCAGCATGAGGCAGGATGTTCCAAAAGCTACACCTGTAGAAAAATTCCCCTGGGCTTGGTGACCCCAAGCTTGTGGAGAAGGAGTGATGTTGCCATGTCTAAGCTGAGATGCTGTGCACAGAACGTCCAGCACTATATACCACCAATGACTCTGACTCCATTTCCTCCCCTTTCTTTCCAAAAATTTCTACTCAGCATACTGGAGAAAGGCTCTTAACTTTATAATAAAAATAACATAATAGATTTCCTTTATTTAAAAAACTTTAACAACAAAAACTAAAAAAACCCAAACTCTCAGCTTCTGAGTGGCTGAATAACAGAACAAATTGAGTTCCCAACTCAAATAAATAAGTAAATAGAACTTTACTAGGGCACATCTATCTTATCGAGTGAAGGCTATGTCTATTTACATTGATTAGTTGCCAGTCTACTTTGTCTTCAGTATTAAATTTAGCTTTGAAAAATGCTTCCTATTCCTGAGGGCAGGGCTGCACATCTTGTAGAATATAGCTTAGGAAATTGATATTAAAACTAGCATTCTAGTTTTTCAAGTCAGTCATTCAATAAAGCAGAAGTATAAATTTTGCACCCAGTTGACCTTGTACTAAACCTGTACATTATAGACTCAAAACACACATTCTTTTATAATATCTAGTAGTGGGCAACTAAGAGACAACAGGTCTATCAAGTGATCTAATAAATTACCTAAACTGCATATTTAATACATATTTTTATATTTTTTAAAAAAAGAACATCCAAAAAAGAATAATTTGATCAAAAAGCTCAGCAATAAAAACAGAGAGGAGAAAATAATGTTTAACAGCGAAGATGAAATATGGCTATAAAGGTAGGCATTGTATAGTTATGGTAACTGTTATGTTAAGAAACTTGCTAAAATTCAGAAACATACTATTTACCTGGGAAACATACTTTTTCTTTACTTCATTGGTTTCTCTAGTTTCTCTCTTCACTTTATGCAGCCCTGTATGCATCTTTAAAGGTTCACTGCTGCTTCCGCAGGTTCATTTCAGTCCTATAAAGAAGCAGCATATCATTACTTAATGAGAAAAAAGATAACATATATTCTAGAAAGCTGAGTTATCCGATCTCATCAATCTCTTTTCCTAATTCATTTTCACCAGAATTACACACAAACGAAAAAACCAAGGGGGCAGGGGAGAGTACAAAGAGGTCATTAAAATACAAACTAACAATGTTAAATTACTAAAAATGCTAGTAGAAGCTGAAAAATATAAATGGAAATAAGGCAAACTCAATTATCTTTGGTAATAGATCAGAACAAGATGATTCATTAAACTCTTTAACATTCTTTCTACCAATGAGTTTCCATCGCGCCTAGCTAAGTTTGAGATGGCTTAGCAGAAATGATAAAAGTAACTGATGTGTAGCCTTACAGTTGCAAGGATGTACACCACTAAGGATGTGCTAGTTTCTGATGCTCTTCTGTCCAAAGCCCTGGGGATTTCCTGGCATGGATTCCAGAGGTACCAAAAATGGTCTAGGCTGTGAGTTCCAGGCCAAGGAACTATGTTATTTTCATCTTTGTCTCTGACCCTTACCTCTGTGTTGTCCCCTTCTGCCCAGTGCCAATGATAGGTACACAGTAACTTCTTGTGCATGAATGAGACAATAACTGTGTTTTCAACAAACCACCAGAGATGCTTCATGTGATCTTAAAATTACTTGTGAAACAGTTGAAAACCCACTGCTTTTGAGACCTTCTTTCTCAAAGCATTCTCTTTGGTTGAGATGTCCATTAGCAGTAAAAAGGCCCTAAAGAGGGCGTACCAAAGGGTATCAGAACTTCAAACAGAACAGTGCAGTGTACACTGAAAGGGCCAGGACTATGAGTACCTGTGAATGCAAACAAGTTGGCTCCTCAAAAGCACCCCTCACCAAAGTAGCTCCTAGTTACCTTTAACCACCATTCCTACACACAGCCAGCTTTGACAGTCAGGCACTGTCCTAACAACTTTAACTTCGTGAACTAATTCAATCTTTATTGAATGATCCTATTGAACTACCTTTATTGACTTACCTTTATTGAGGTAGATTATGTTATTCTAATTGCCCAGGTAAGGAAACTAAAACACAGAAAGTTTAAGTAAATCATTCAAGGAAATGCATTAAGCTGCTGTTTATAGGCAGGGCAGCAGTCCCCAAACTTTCTGGCACCAGGGATCGGTGCCCCCATGAGAGTCTAACGCCTGATGATCTGAGGTGGAGCTGAGGCAGAGACGCTAGCGCTGGGGAGCGGCTGCAAATACAGATGAAGCTTCACTTGCTGCTCACCTTCTGCTGTGCGGCCCGGTTCCTAACAGGCCATGGACCGGTACTAGCCCACAGCCTGGGAGTTGGGGACCCCTGTGCAGGGGTTCCTGGGCAAATATAATCTCGTAGTAAGCTTCGGTCTCATCCATCTATTCCACTTTCTTCCACTGTTGTCATGTATAGTAAGCTCAATGTCTAGTTAAATAAGCTCTTGCTGGAAATTTTTCCTAATTACTGAATTCCTAATTTACTGAAAAACTTAACTTTTAATTTTCTATAACTTAAAAACTGACCTTTTCTTATTTTAAAAAATTGAACAGGTACAGCCACTATGGAAAACAGTCTGGAGGTTTCTCAAAAAATTAAAAATGGATATACCTTTTGACTCAGCAATTGTACTTCTGGGTATTTATCCAAAGAAAAGCAAAACAATAATTCATAAAGATCTATGTACCCCTATGTTCATGGCAGCACTATTTACAATAGCCAAGATATGGAAGCAACCTAAATGCTCATCAACGGACAATTAGATAAAGAAGTTATGGTTCATATATACAATGGAATATTACCCAACCATTAAAAAAATGAAATCCTACCATTTGCAATGACATGGATGGACTTAGAGATTATTATGCTTGAGTTAAATAACAGAAAAATACTGTAAGATTTCACTTACATGCAGAATCTAAGGAATAAAAAGAACAAACTAACCAAAAACAGACTCACAAATATAGAGAACAATCTGGTGATGGCCAGAGGGGAAGGGGTTAGGGGACAGGGAGAAAGGGGTGACGGGTTAAAGTAGTACAAATTAAAAGTTCATAGGCGGTCACAGGGATGGGAGCACGGCATAGGGAATGCAATCAGCATTAACGTACCGGCTAGGTGTAGAACCAGAGGAGAGAAAGAGCAATCAGGGGAATCGTTTCATAAACTATATAAATGTCTAACCAATGTACTGTATACTTGAAACTAATACTAAAATAAAAATTTAAAAAGATAAAAAAAAATTTAAGCAGTACACATCACAAAAAAGAAATCTTAATTTTACAGAGGTTGGAAGCAATAATTATTTTCAGCTGAATACTTACATTTGCCCACTACTTCAGCTTATTATATTTATTCCAGATATTTTGCTATGCTTAACAGATTCTTTCTAACTTTAACATCACAAAACCTTCGCTCAAGCAAGGCATTTATTCTTTTACTTTCTAGTTTGGTTGATTTTGACATGATGCTAATGATGCCAAAAACTGTGGGTTCAATCCACTACAATCCGTTAGCTTTGTTTGCTTCATGTCAACAAACTCTTAGCCTGGATAACATATTTTGGGTTATAAGAGGAACCAGGTGGGAGTGTGCAAGACGAACTAGCATAAATAACACCTGCTGGAGAAATAAGTCCACATATAACACAGGGGCAGAACAACCGTGAGGCAGAAGCGTTGACTTCATTCATAAAGAAAAGCTTCATGATCGCTGGCAAAGCACTTTTACCTTTCTGAAACTGTTCTCAGTCTCAGATCTTTTGCCAGAATCTAAAGTCTCTCTTTCAAAAAACAAAACAGGTGTTAAGATAAAAATAAAAAACTAAAGTTTTTAGCTTTTGCAAAAACTCTGCTTGACTGATCTGAAAAGAGAATCTTCTTATTCCTGATACCAATTCCACTGACAATAAAAAGCACTTTGATGTTTTTAGAAAGTGATACAAAAGTCTCCAGAAAAACATCAGAAAAATCTTACTGCAACTCCATATGTATATCTTAGATTCTTTAAAAATTACTCTTAATTTTTCATAATACCAAGAGCAGCTCTATTTCCAAATAATATGAAGTTATTTTAAAGTCTTCTTCAAATTAAATAAAGAATCCAACCAATATCAGTCTAGATCACATTTTAAAACAACCCAGGGCTCATTCAGGGTAGAAGTTTTACCGGCTTCCACAAATAAAAATGAAAAAGCAAAACTATATTCCTTAACTGTTACTTTAGAAAGACACCCACCTCGGAACATCCATCTTTGACTTTTCCTGCACAAAGGTGGAAAGAACTTTCCCAATGTACTAATGTTACAAAGCACGTGGGTTCCAACAGTCACAAGGTAACTATGACAGCAAAGCCACAGTTACTTGTGAGATCACAAAAACTATATGATGTAATTTTTAATTGAGGTGAAATTCACATCACATGAAATCAACCATTTTAAAGTATACAGTCCAGTGGCATTTAGTATATTCACAATGTTGTGCAACTGTCACCACTACCTAGTTCCAAAAGGTTTTAGTCACCCCAAAATGAAACCTTAACCTCATTAAGCAGTCACTACCATTCCCCCTGCTCCAGCCCCTGGCAACTGCTAATATGCTTTATTGTCTCTATGGATTTACTTTTCTAGATATTTTGTACAAAAGTAATCACTCAATATGTGACCTTTCATGTCTACCTTCTTTTACTTAGCATGATGTTTTAAGGTTCTTCTACATTGTAGCAAGTATCAGTACTTCATTCCTTTTATGGCTGAAAAATATTCCATTGTATGGATATGCCACATTTCGTTCATCCGTTTTATCCATTGAAGGACATTTGGGCTGTTTCCACCTTTTGGTAACTGTGACTAGTGCAGCTATGAACATTTGTGTACAAGTATTTGTTTGAATACCTGTCTTTGATTATTTTTGGCATAGACCTAGAAGTAGAATTGCTGCATCAGACTTTTTGAGGAATTACCAAACTGTTTTCCACAGTGGCTACACCATTTTACATCTTACCAGCGAAGCATGAGGGTTCCAATTTTTCTACATCCTTATCAATACTTCTTGTTTTCTGTTTGAGTTTTTAAAAATTATAGCCATCTTTGTGGGTGTGAAATAGTATTGCTGCATTGTGGTTCTAATTTGCATTTCCATAATGACCAATGATGTTGAACATCTTTTCTTATGTTTGTTGACCATTTGTAAATCTTCTGTGGAGAAATGTCCAATCAAGTCCTTGCCCATATTTTAACTGGATTGTTTGCCTTTTGTTGTTGAGTTATAAGTTTTTAAAAAATACATTATCAATACTGGGCCCTTATCAGATTTGAAAATCATTTTTTCCCATTCTGTAGATTATCTTTTACTTTCTTAATAGCGTCCTTTGATGCACAAAAGTATTAAACCTTGATGAAGTCAAATTTATCTTTTGCTTTTGTTGCTTGTGCTTTTGATGTCATTTCTAAGAATCCACTACCAAATCCAAGGTCATGAGTATTTAGTCTTTTGTTTTCTAAGAGTTTTGGCTCTTCCAATTAAGTCTTTGATCCATTTTGAGTTAATTTTACTTTATGGTGGAAAGTTGGGATCTAACTTTATCTTTTTGCATGTGGATATCCAGTTGTCCCAGAAACATTTGTTGAAAAAATTGTCCTTTCCCTCATTGAACGGTTTTGGCATCCTTGTCAAAAATCAATTGACTATAGATGTATGGGTTTATTTCTGGACTCTCAATTCCAGTCCATTGATCCATATGTCTATCCATGTGCCAGTACCACACTGTTTTGATTATTATAGCTTTTTGAAATCGGGAAACATGAGTCCTCCAGCTTTACCTTAATTTTTCAAGATTGTTTTGACTATTCAGAATCTCTTACAATTTCACATGAATTTTAGGATCAACTTTTCCATTTCTGCAAAAGAGGCTGCCAGGATTTTGGTAGAGATTGCACTGAATCTCTATATCACTTTGGGTAGTACAGCCAA